CACATGCAGCGTGTACTGCAGGATAACCAAAAACCGTTAATTATGGCAAAATTAAGGCATTAGAAATTAAATCAAGGGCATGGAACTGTTCGGGAGAATCTGCTGCATCGATATCGTGTAAGAAAACCCAAACTACAGTAGCGTTAAGTATAATTACTCGACATAACAATGAAACAACCTTGAACGAGCAATTAATTGCGTTTGGCTTTTGAATAAATTTTGCGATCGTACGTATCTAGTTTTGAAAACGTTATCGTATCTTGTTAAAACGTTTGAAAAAAAAACAGTTGAGGAAAGTTTGTACGAAAACAATTGATGAAAAATTTCCCAATAACGGTTGACACACTTGAAAAATGTACTTTACAGCCATCGGCACGTTGTAATTTTCAATTTCATACGTATCATGGAACGATTGGGTTTTTTTTTCGAATTATAGATCATTAAAATGTAACAATTGTGTACACATCGATTGCTGGGATCTCGCTACGCGGTGGTTCCTGCGATTGGAGTCCCGAAGGAAAGTCAAGTCAAGGTAGAAGCGATTTTTCGGCGTAGGGTGTGTATTTCCTTTATTATTTGTCGGCACACGCGCGTGCGAATACATCGGAAGATCGTCGGATTTTCGACTCGATGCGACGCATCTACGGTTTATCGCGTTGCGTGACGGTCGGTGCTGCACCGAGCACTACGAACGCATTTTTTTTGTTGTTCGTTAACGGGCAACCTTCGGGCTGACGGCCACGCGCAAAAGGTCAGTGGCACGCTATCGCACGCAACGTTTGTTGAAGTTTACGCTGCTAACGCCTGTGGACGGTGTGCACACGCTTCGGACACGAGATCTCCCAATTATTTTCAAGAGTTTCTTTGTAGCGTGTTCGTTGCAGCGTTGGTCGCGCCGCTGTTGGAAATAATCCGACTTCTTTCGAAACAGAAATCCCAATAACTGCATTGAATATCTGCGATCTACGGAGGCGATCGGTCGCCGGTATCTTCCGGTCCGAGGATAGTCGCGTCCAACGCCGCCTTGTTAAAAAATCGGAACTTTGCTCCCGACGGATCCGGGTCGGGACGACGGAGACGGAGACGGGACGACGGGATAGGCAGGGGGTGCCTATCGATAAGCACTTATCTTCGGAACAATCGAGGAGCACGTTCCTTGCGTTCGGTAAGAAATTTTAACATATATTTATCGCGCGTCGATATTTACTCGAGTGCTTAAATATCGATTAAAAAAGAACACAGAATATTGATCGAGAATAAAATTGAAAGAAGGATGTTGGAAAACAAACAAACTTTCCGTCAGCGCGCATCGACGGTGATGTAAACTGTATATCAAAGATACCGCGATATACCATCTCCGATGTCGTGGGAACACATCGTGCTCCGATCGTTAGTGATCCCAGTACCGCGTGTATAATGTAAGACGCGACGAATGACCGTCTCTGATTGGTGGAGAAGACCGCATCAAAAAAGGTATATAAGCAGGCAATTTTCAGTTGCCGTAAGTAAAATAAATCTTTTTAAGAAAAAGAATTAATATCATATTCATTTGTGTGTGTGTGTGTGTGTGTGTGTGTGAGAAATAATCCCAATAAAGGGAATAACGCTTGTATTTAACGGATTACCATTAGAATCCGTTTATTTATTATTAATTACCATTAGAATGCTCCGTTACGAGTCGGACGCGACGAGGCGCAACAACCCTGAGAGCCGTTATCATGGCAGGACCCAGGACTCGCGTGGCAATCGTAGCGTGCTTGCAGCGTGGAACATGCCCGTGGAAGAGGAACGATGGTCTTGGGAAGGAGGAAGAGCGAGGAGGGAACGCGGGTCGGAGGATCGGCTCGAAACCGATCGCGTGTAAATCGTGTTAGTCTAAACCGCCGTTGGCCGGCCAGCCTCGTAATTTTTCGTGCCGCGCGTCGGTCGAGGGTGCTGCTGCCGTATTCCCTCGACGACGGCCCTGGTCACGAGCCAGCGGTAGTCGAAGGTCGAGCAGCGTATGTCGTATACGCCGTGGTGCATGTAACTGGTACGTAGCGTGTTGTACGTCGCTTCGTGTGGCGTGGTTTGGCGTGGCGTGGCGTGGCGTCGCGCGGCGGTGGGATGCGCTGGTATGCCGGGGAGAATCGACGTCGGCAACCAGAACAGGGTGGCTGACTCGAAGCCAGGGATTCACGGGGCGGTTGCCAGTCGCGTGCTCTCATAGTCGGGCGAGCAGCTTTTGCATGGACGTAATCGGTTTACGTTCGAACATTTTCGCGAGTTCCTGCACCGTCGACTCGCTGCTCGAGCGGCCTGCTCGCAGCCGGCGCGTCCCAGTCCCGATCTCGGTCCCGGCGACACGCAAGACTTCCGTCGCATCGTGAGTATTAAACTTCGCGTTACTTTTTGCCGAACAACGTCGAACGCGACGGACCAACGGAATCCGTTTGGACGCGCGGCCGAACGACGAGCTTTCGGGCGATGGATCCCTTTCCCGGTTACGTCGATAGCGTTTCGAAAAAACGCCGATACCGAAAGGAACTTGTTCGGTATCCGAGACTTCTTCGAAAGACACGCGGTGCTCGACTCGTTGTCGTCCGTCGATGCAATTTTAATGCTGCGAGCGCGCGAGCTGCGCATTTTTGGCTACGGAGCTTTCGATTCAGCGTCTTCGACCGTTCTCAATTTCTTCTCATCTTTCTGTCGTGTCGAGCTTCGCTCGCTCAAATTTGCCGTAAAAGCATAAAATCCGCAGTTTGCCGCGAGTTCCTACAGAATTTTGCCGAGGGTACGCAGCATCGAACGCGTTGGCAATCGAATATAATATCGGGCAATGTTTTCGAGAGCGGTGTAAGATTTTCATTAAACCGGCACGGGGCGCGGAGTTCGGATGCCGCGCGACGATGGTTTTTCATTATCAAAATGAAATTCGCGAAGCATCCCGTAACAATGTCGTAGCCAGCGGATAAAAAGATATCGATGGAATTATGCAGGCATGCCCGGAAGTCTTTCCATTCTGCCTGGAAGCCATTCGCATTCCCTGCGTCGCGAGTCGGCGTCGTCGTTGTCGTCGTCGTCGTCGGCGACAGCGGCGGTGTCGGTGTTGCGGAATATCCTGTTGTTCGTTTCGCGAACACATTTTTATGGATAAATCGATAGGCGAACTTTCGTGTTTTCACGTACTTTTATATTATTCATGGTACTGTAACGCGTTACTATAGTTTGATGGTTCTGTAACGAACCGAAGCTTTATCGACCTGACGACGACGACGACAGTTTATCGGTGATCGGGCGATACCGTTCGATTAAAGACAAATATCCCGCGAATCTAGCACCCGAAATATCCGTGGTCATTGTAGGACGCTCGAAACGTTCGTACGCGGCCTTCGTCCGAAAGTTGAATCATCGTTCAAGGGTATCGCGCGTCCGATAAAGTAACCTGCGCCGGAGCCGTTTAATGTGTAATTCGAGGAAAAATACGGTGCTCGAGAGAGAAAATGATCCGTCTCGGTGCGAATTATGAAATAAAAATGAGCCACCGACGCGAACCAACGCTCGCGGAAACTAGGTGTGCCGCTCGAGGGAGGAAAGTCTCGGAGGGTTGATTGATCTCCGCAGTTCTCTGGAAAGAGGTTCGTGCAAACGAGATGTTCCCGTTCCCGACCAGCCGACGACGACGACGACGGGACGCGATGGCCTGTACGAACTGTCGCGCTTCCTTCGACCAGGATAATATCTTGTTAAATCGATAACAGATGATAACGCTGCCTCCTCGAGCGACACGAACCACGAACTTGTTAAACCGTCGTTCGATATTTTCGCCGACCGCGACCGCCTAAAAACGCGATCGAGATCCTCCAGGTTTTTAAACGCCGAGATACATCGACAGACAGAGAGAGAGAGAGAGAGAGAGAGAGAGAGAGAGAGAGAGAGAGAGTTTTCTTTCGTGCGAACGGCCAACGTAATTTACGACTCTCGTTCGACGAAGCTATTTTTGAGTCGATCTTTTCCAGACTTTAACGTCGCACGTGTCGTAGAGTTTCCCTTTCCGAGTCCTCGATAGCAAACAAAGACCGTCGTAAATTAAGGGACTGTCCGACGGTTACTCGAGACGGACGCATCGATCTTTCGCCAAGTGGGTCCGACGCGGATGGCCCGAAGGAAAGTCCCACGGCATCCCCTTCCATCGCCTCGCCGTTCCACGAGCGTCGCTCGAGTACGATCCGTCGCGAGATAAAAATCATAGCGAGATAGGAGATAGGCGAGGAGAGAGTGAGAGAAAGAGAGAGGAGGGAGAAGAGTTCCACTCGAAGAGAAACACAACCAGGCTCGTACTTTTCCCGGCCACTTCTAACCGTGCAACATCCATTTGATTTTCAGAAGGTCCGCTCCACGTGCTCGCTCTCGTACTCGCACTCGGGATCCAGGCAGCATGCCCGTGATTTGTTCGTCCTTTTATTAAGAGGAGGACCGAGATGGCGCAGGAAATCCCGGAGACGACGTATGTACCGGAAGTAGCGAAGGACGCGAGAAAGGAGCGGGAAAGGCGGACCGTTCAAGACGGGACGGCGCTCTGGAAGCGGCGAAAGGAGGAGCTGGAACGTCGGAAGCACCGTGAACAGCGTGAAGTATGCGTCGTAAACGGGCCTGTTGTGCTCGTCCGAGCCCGGTCCGCCCTTCGCTGACCACGTTTTACCTTTATTTCCGCCGCGCTATGCCGCGCCGCGTCGGTATCGTTCCCGTTGATCGGATAAAGATCGTCGGCCCGTCCGCCGTGTCGCCTCCAAACACCCTCGGCCCTCGCGTTTACGACAGCTTCCGTACTTTTGGAACTGTACCCCCGTACCCGTCGATTTACGAGTGCGTGCAAGAGATTTCCGTCGGTCCGAACATCGTTTCGAACGCTGTCCGTCGAATATCGGACGATTTCGAGCGATATCATCGTTCTCGCTCGAACGATTTAGCTCGAGAATTTCCTCCTCGAATCCATTTCGGCGACGCGAAGCGCGCGCGTTTCTTCTTTTTCGCGCCGATTTCCGATTTTCTCCACGATTCGTGGATCTTTCGACGAACGTTGATCCAGGGGGCGCCGTCGACCGCGCTTCGGCCCATCCGAGGAGGCGAGCAAGTCCGGATTCCGTTTTCTCTTGCTCGGTAGCTATTTACCTACGCGGGTTCCCTAACGATTTCGTCGAGAGCCGTACCATTAACGGCGCGGCACGGCTGTAAATACCGCGTGTGTGCTCTCGTTGCGTCGCTCTAAGAAACATTTCGCTAATGAGCGGAAGCGCTTCCAAGTTTCCACGTTGAACGATGGCGTCGTCGCGCGGGTCTGTCTATTTGTTGCGTCGGATGTCCGTTTCGCAGCGATCGAATCGACGCCTGCTCGCTCGAGTTAATAGAGGTACCGCGATAAGATAAACAAGGAAAATTCTAGATGTCCGACCAACGGCGCGTTCCTCGTTGTCGGAAATGGATAAGATAAGATTCGCGAAAGTTTCAAAGATCGACATTTTCTTAAATGGTTCTGCTAGAACGAAGGACCAAATTGGAAAGATTCGCGCCGAGTTCACAGTTTTTTAACCGACTGTTTCTTCGCGAACGATTAGTAATTTAAGAGTACGAACACGAAACGATCCTTGAACCAAGTTTCTCCCGGTGTCGAACGAAAGTTGCAACTTGACCCAGTTTCGTGGAGCATTCTGCGAGGAAGGACGAGTCGAACCGCGAGTCAAGGACGAGTAAAAGTTCTTTGCATCGTCGTTCGCCGACTCGATGCGCGTCGGTTAATTACCGTAAACTAGAAAATTCGATCGTTCGACGAAAAGTCACGGAGCGTTCCATAACGAAGGTGGACGTTGTTCGCCGAAGCGTTCTCACGCACGCGGTTTCGCGATGCGCTTTCTCGAGGAGCAGTGTCGTACAACGAAGAAACGGCGGGTGGTCGAATCTTTCGGGGGACTTTGAGCATCCTCGACGAAGGAGGGCCTCGTCTCGGATCGCTTCGCTCTCGAAAACTGTCCGGACAATGGAGCCTCGATAAGCGCGTGGTAGGATCGATACTCGTCGCGTCGGACAGATTTCTCATTCGCGCGCACAGTGTTTTTCATCGCGTCCCGTCTCCGTCGTTTCGATCGCGTATTTTGAAAAAGGAATCGAACGAATCGACTCCGCGCTTCCAGCGGAGACTTTGCGCCGTGCCGGATTAATTCCGTTCGAATCCGCTCCGAATCCGCTACGAATCGAGTTTCGTGGCAAGCAGAATATTCTCGAGCGTGAAAGTCAGGCTCGCGCGGAACCGTCCCCACAGTTTCATTTTTTGATTACAGCTCCAGCAAATCTTGGAGAATTATTCGCCGTGGGGTAAGCCGGGGGGTGGCGCGCCATGCGCGGCAACCCTTCGAAAGAAGAACGTTCCGCTGGAGCCGATCGAGGCGATAGAGTCCCTGGTTCGCCCGGAGTCTCTGGAGCAAGGGAGGTGTCGGAATTTCGGCCAGGTAACGTTTCGAGCAGTTCGTACGATATTCTCCGGTTTCGCGAACGCGCGAGAAAACACGAAACTGGAAGCGTAATTTTACATTCCGTAAAACGATCTGTCCGATTTTAAAATCAGAATTTCTTCTCTACTCGATGCGTCGTCTTCGACGTTACGGCATTCGGATCGATCCGGATCGAGCAACGGTCGATCGAGAGTGTCGAGCGATTCGAGCGTCGCTCGTCGCGATCCATATTTTTCCTTCGATCGTATCACCGAAAGCGTCGGCTGCCGCGCGCGTTTGTTTTTCCTCTCCATCGGAAAAATCCTTCGATAGCGCGGAGATCGAATGGACGAATTTTCCATGCGCACAGTGCGGTAAATATCGAACAAACGGCGTTCGGCTTTTTTTTTCTACCACAAGTGCTCGGAGAGCTCGTCCGAACGCGACGCGACGCGACGACCATTAAAAATCCGGCCTACGCTGTTGCACCGTAAAAACTCGCGCGACAAAGGAGAGAATTTCTTCCCGAATTGGATGTTGTTCGTTCGTTTTTGGTTCAATTATCGGGTCGTTCGACCGAGAGGGCGTTAAATTGAAAATACGCGAATCCGGTTCGCTCGATGCTATGGCTCGCGATGCGATCGCGCTAAATCGTGTTAAATCGCGTTGGATCGCGCTCGATCGCCGCGTTATTTCGATCAATCGTTCGATCGTGCCCAACCAATTGATTTCTACTTCTCGGCGCGCGCGCCGAAAAACTTTCCGTTAATCGATTTTCCGCGTTACAAATTTGTACGGAGAGGTGCTGGCCATCGATCGATAATTACCGCGTCTCTCCCGTTATTTCACTCCCGTTATTTAACTTCCGTTATTTAACTCCCGTTATTTAAGCCCCGTTATTGCTCGATTCGGGGAACGCGAAGCCGCGATGCTGCAAACGTTTCGAAATGCGTTCTCGCGGCCGAAGCTCGATTATACGGATCCAGAGATCGGAGAAGAGCGCGTACGCGTTTGGGTGGTGTCGGGGCAGGACCGTTGTCGGCGATCGGTTGTCGGCGGTTGCGCGAAATAATAAATGGGAAATAGCAAATAGAAAGGCGAGAGGCGGCGCGACGGGGATATCGAAGGTTGCTCTCGGAATTAGGCCGGGCCGACGCGGCGCGGCGTGTAATTCGCGGGGAAGGATGTCGTTCCGGGCCTTGTTATCCTGGCAGTTACGAGGACTGTTATCGTCGTAAAGAAGCCTCCAGCTATCGGCCGATAATAACCGTGCAAACGTTTGCCCTCGGTATATTGGCTCGGGATCCGTGGTTCGAGAGCCGGTTGCGGAGACGATTTGCAATTCAAAGTTCGAAAAGATTGTGTGCCGCCTCGAGCTCTCGGTATACATACCTAGCTCCGCGTCCTCGAAATCGCCGGTTTGTTTATTTTAAGACGGCGAAGCAGCGTCGCGGCGGTACAACGAAAATAGGCCGATGCGCGACGATGCGATTGGTGCGTGTACGAAACGGCTGGAATTCTTCGTTGGATCCGTTGCGTTACGTTGCTTCGCGCGTAACCTCGGCCCGCAAAGAACGAAGCGCTTTCCATTTTTCGGAGCCCCTGATTCGGTTTTTGTTACCGCGGACGCTCGTTTGCGCGCCAGCGACCGGTACTTTGCAAACGCACAAATTTTCGCTCGGTTATTCGTAGTTGGCAGTCTGCCGAGGTCAACCCGTGTCACACGGGGCAAAGACGACGCGACGCGACACATCGAGGCCCGTCGCGACAAAAGCGAGCGGAAGGAGGTGCCGACGACCCTGGGCCTCGTCGTCGGTTACTCGGCCGATCGGATTCGACGATATCGGCCCTCGTTAACGTCTCTGCCCCGAGCTGGTCGACGCGAAACTCTTCCTCCGACCTCTTGGAATATGTATTACCGCGGCGATATCGACCCGGCGCGCGTCGACGTTCTTTCGCGTACAAAAAAAATCGGTCGGTTCATTAACGAACTTCCCGAGCGATTGTTCCGACGACGTTTCTTCGATCGGCCGGTAATTCGGTTGTTTCTCGATTAGTAGCGGGGCTGCTCGATCTCTCGCCGCGACTTCTTTTCTAATTGAAATTTAACTTCTCGACTCTCGACTCCAAGCTTTCGTCGTTCGTGGCTCGAACCGACGACAAACTCGTCGAGCGTGTCGTCGCGATCGCGAGTCGCCTAACGATCGTTTCGTTCGTTCAACCGTTCTTTCGTCGATCGGCCCGCGCCTCTACGTAAAAATAGAAGCAGAGGTGCTCCTCGCGCTTCGCGGAAGTGGCAAACGAACCCCGGAGAAGCTGTTTAATGTGCTGCGACGTCCTCTGCTTAGCTGACGGCCCTCTGGCCTTGGGGTCGACCCGGTCCTGGCGGAGTTCCTTGGAGGGATCCAAAATTGCTGGGGGCGCGATTCCTCGAGTCTTTGGTACGCGCCGCTGTCCGATGCGTCGAGCACGATCGTCGTTGAACGATCCAGCTTGCTAGTGTCTTGTCTTAGCGCGTCCTCCGCACTTTAGACGTAGTTTGCTCGGTACGTAGAGTACGTTTAAGACCGTTGTCTTTGGAATGTACCTGGCCGAGATCGCCGATGGGAAGAGGCGACCGATTTGTCCGTCGAGTTTGAAAGTCTAGCGGATCGCTCGGCTATCCAATCTCCGGTCAAGGTTGCGTCGAGGTTCCACGACGCGATCCCCCGAGAGTGTCCCGACTCTGGATCCGCTTCGACGGCGTTTGACCCTTAACGTTTAATCGACCGATGCAGCGTGCAGCATGCAGCATGCAGCATGCAGCGCGTAACCGTGCCGCGTTGCTGCGTAATCGAACGATCTTTCCCGGCCAGCATCCACGGCCGGAAAGTTTAAACCGATATTTATTACAACGTTCCACTTCGGGCAAGTTTGCTGCTCGGCAACGGCCGCTACCGAGCCCCCCAGTCATCGGTCTCCTTCAGACTTTTCGGGCTCGCGCATCGCGCTTCGTCTCTTCTCGTTATCGTTCGTGTCCTCGCCCCCGTTCACCCTCGTCTCGTTCTCTCCCCTCCTCTCCCCTCCCCCACCCTTTTTGACAGCGATACGAGACGCGAATTAATGGCGGACGGATTTATGGATCGTTTTCTTGTTTTTCTTCGTAATAAACCGCGAGGCCCCGGACCCGGCTAACCAGCTAACTGGAACGACGTTGACGAATGAACCCAGGCCGGGTGTTAACTCCGAGACCAGACTACCCGAGTCCTAAGTGATTACCGATTAACCACTGATAAATTCTTCCGCGACGGCCCTCGGTACCACCACCCTATCCTCCCTCCCTTCCGGCCTCTCTTCGCGCATAGAGTAGCTTTTCTCCGATCTATAATCTATCCTCGGGTACGGTTATCTTCGTCGACCGGCTGCCAGACGAGCTTCGAGTTGCTCGAGGATCTCGATCGTTCTCGCCGCGACGGAGATTACTATGAGAGAGAGAGAGACCGATGGAACCGGACGATAGTTTCGTCAGGATCCGGGCAACCGTCGATCGAGATAGAAGTCTAATTTCGGTTCGATCACGGCCCACGGGCGAACGGGGACGACGGGGTAGCCTCGTCGCGGTTCGGTCGGAGTCTTCGCCGATAAACACCCTGTCCAGTCATCGTCGTCCTCGGGACGACTCGTTGTACCGATGTTTCGGTAACGAGCCAGGCTTCGCGAGATTTTGCTCGCTGGATGAATTTTCGACGCTGTAGCATAGGTAGAGAAGACACGCTGCTGTCTGCCGGCACGCAACGCACGAATCCAAGGAACGAGATTATCGACAGCTTCCGCTCGGCCTAATCGAGTCAGCGTACTCTGCGCGTCCCCCACCAGTTGCTCGCGTCTGGTTACATTGTACGATGTTGCAGGGATGGACGAGCGATGCGACGATCGAGAGGATCCATCGGAAGCATATTAATCCCATGGACGTCACGGATACAAACAGGTTCTTCGATGACAAAGGGACGATGTCGGGTAAGCCCGCTATACGTGCTCGTTGATCCGCGGCTTTGACAGTTCCACGGTGGACGAGCTCCTGCGGAGGCTTTCCGGTGCCGAGTGTCCCTTAAGGACGTTCATCGGGATAAACGCTAAACGCTAAACGATAAACGGTAAACTGTAAACGGTAAACGATAAACGATAAACGATATGGGAAATAATAGTACCGTTGGTCCGACGAACGACCGACTCGTACTACTTTCTTGGCTGGAAATTACAAACGACCGGCTCGTTCTACACGTTTTCCAAACGACCGAGCCTTACTATTTGCCCGATTAATAATGGTATACTCGTATGGGGCTGGCGTGTTCGCGCAGCGCCCGTCGCAAGCTCGTCGCAAGCTCGTCGCAAGCTCGTCGCTCGGTTAACGGATTAATTCGTTTCGCAGGTGTCGCCTCAGGTATGCCGCCAGTGGAGGAACCGATGCGCCGATACAACGATGAAGTTCAGGTGTACGAGTTGACCGGGGGCGTGGAATTGGTGCCGCTTTTGACCAGCAGGCGTTATTACTCGCAGCAGCCACAAAGCACTCGTTACGTCGCGACGGACGCTACGCGGCCTGGATACACGATAGAGCCGTACGTATCGTATGTGAAATGAAATTTCAATTCCTCTCGGCGCGGTCTTTGTTTTCGCTCGTCTCTGCCTCACCCGCCGTTCTTTCATCTCTCTCTCTCTCTCTCTCTCTCTCTTTCTTTCTCTCTCTCCCAGCTTCCCTCGCTTCCGATCGTTTCGTGCGTCCCTCGACACGTTTCACACGTACCTAACTGCAGCTACGGCCCCTGGAATTGCGAAATGTTTCGCGTTGGATTTCACCGGGTTCGCTGAATTTTTTTGGAAACTAGTTAATAATAAGACGGCGTGTACAGCTTTTGCAGGTCGAAAAACGGAAGATGGAACCGAGTACTTTTCGCTGGAACTTTACTCTGCCGGATCGATCCGTTTTCGGTGGTGTATGGTCGCTGTATCGAACGGTCGAGATCGTTCGAGGGAAAGCTTCGACGAAACGAACAGAGGGCTCCTGGATTTCCTTCGAAGCTAGAGGGGAACCATCGAATCGGGTTCGCGATGTTCGAGGTTTAGGAAATTTCGATTCGATGTCCGATCGTCGCGGAAACTTTCGGTTATGCCTTCGGACGACTTATCGATACCATTGTCGCGTTGCCTATAGTCCTCGCTGTTTCCAAACGTTCCTAAAATCTGAAACGAAGAGGAGGCTGCGAATCAATTTCTAGGACGAGTCGGTTCGTACTAGTTTGCATTTTCGGTTTTGCCGGTAATCGGAGCAAATTTCGAAGATGTTTCTTACCGTTTTCCGCGGCGCAAAAAGTTCGAGCAGCTTCGAGGTAATGCTCGAGGTTTCTTTCAGCCGGGAAATGGGCCGATAACGATATGAAAACGCAACGAACCGTGCGCCTGCAAATAGAAGCGGGGTCTTGTTCGCGTCGTCCCGGTGCTCCAAGACGGTGCGGCGAGAAAGGGGAACGACGGAGATGGCTGACGACGCTGTAACGCCGTAACAACGTTGCGGATAATCGGCCCGTTGACCCGATCTCCCGCGATCCCGACGACTTCGGCCGGGGAGAGATGCGCGCGGCACCCTTTTCGCAGAGACGCGCCCCTTTCCCTCCGAATGTTTGTCAACGTTGGAGTCTGTCGGTCCGTGTGCTCGTCAACGCGGTTTCTCCGACGGGCCGCTCGACCCCTTCGAAGGCCGCTTCGGGTAATTACGCGCTGAAAAATCGTTCGAGACGGTTGCCTCGTCGAGCGTTGTCTCTCGCGCCGCTCGCGTTCCTTTTACTTTTCCCGCCCACTTTGAAAGATTGCTTCTCTTCCTCCGGCGCTGGCTCGATGCTGGAAAGAAGAAAACGAGAGTGAGACGAGAGGAATTCGCTGCAAGGGCGCTTGGTATTATCTTTTTGGACGCGCGATGCGCTCCGAAGAAAAGCTCGACGCTTCGGCTCCGCTCGCGAACCTTCCGTGTTGTTTTCGGCGATCCCTGCGAAACGTCCGCGAGTCGATCCTCGTACGCCGCGTCCCGCTTTTCCCAGGCACGTCCTGTAACGCGAATTCTAACGCTCGCGATCGCGCAGCCCAACGCGTCGTCGCCCAGCGAGAGGAAAACAATTTTTCTCGTTGGCACGGTCGGCGGCAGTGTGTCTTGAATTTCCTCGCGCGGGCCAGTCGATAATCGAGGATGATTAATTGCCGCGCGTTCCACGAGCGTCCGAGCATATTATAAACAAGGTAACAGCCACGACCGGCGACGGTCGCTTCGTACAGAATTCCATTAAACGGTATCAAAGTGTCCTCGATTATGCGTCAGCCTGCCGGTGTTCGGCACGGCACGGCACGGCACGGCACGGCACGGCACGGTACGGCACGGCGCGACAGCGGCCAATATCGTCGCGCACTCTCGCACGCGTGCTCGACGGGCGCGACTTTAAGCGCAACGAAACGACAAAACGACCGGTTAATATGCTAATGACCGATGACATCGTTATCGGATACGCGATACCAGCGGCGCGAGAACTTGTTTCGACGGTGGATCGATGCGCGTGGTACGGGACGATCGATGATCGAACGCGAATAGATACGAGTCGAATCGGCTTCGCGGACCGTCGAAACGCGGACCGAATTCTAATTTCCAGCGATCTCCTCGACGTTTAATTTTCATCATGTTTTTATTGTCGGGAGACGTTTTTCCTGTTCCGAGTCGGCAGTTCCCTAATCTTTTAATCGTCGAACATCTGCCGCTGCCGAGTCTCGCGAACGCTCGCTCCAATTCGCGTCACCTCCCTCTGCTCCAACGAACGAACGCTTTCTTTCGAGAACGTTCCTCGAGAAAAGAATAGACCTTCGGACGAGACGATGCACAGCGGTCTTATTTCCAGCGACTTCTCGCTTCGTTCAGCCCCGGGCCGAGGAAAACTCGTTCCCACCCCGTTCCCACCGCGGTAGAATACCACGGCTCTTTCCAACGATCTCGATCCGAATCCCTTGCAAATCATCGGAGGACGAACTCTGGTCGACACCGGACCGCTTCACAATTTTGTCCCGTTCAACTTGTTGCAGCCGCGGAAACGTTAATTGTCCGTACACCCCGTTACACGTCGCGTCGGATCGTTGAAAATTTGATCGAATCGTCGGCTCGATCGATCGGTCGAATCGCTTCATTTTCCCAGACTTTCTTGGAGTTCGATTAATATTAATTCGCGCTTTCGTCTCGTTCCGGTTCGTTCGAAATCGTCTCGCGAGAGACGTCCGTTCTTCCGCCAGGAACCGAATTCGTTCCGAACGTGTTCGACGATATCGTGGGAATCGGCGTTGGCATTTCGTCGGCATCGCAATCCGTTCCAATGTTACGAAGAGCGAGACGAGAGAGAACCAGATTCTCGTCGAAACTCCTCCAGTATTTTCTGTGCGTAACGCGCCGCTTAAGCGGCCTTATTAAGGGGTAAACACCCTTGGCAGACTGCGACTCCGGTGTACGTGTCCCCGAGGCAGCGACCCGCTTATCCGTTCTTACGCGTTTTCGGGCTGCCTCGACTCTCGGGGCGTGCACGCCCGTACCCGGCCGAATTATTTCTCTCGCGAAACTCGATCCCCCCGTAATCCGAGCAGATTTTTGTAATTTCACCGTTTAAAAGTTACTCTTTTCGCCCCGGCGGGGCGAGGCGAGGCGAGGCGGCTGCTGCGCTTCGGAGTAAACTTCGGACCGGTTCAACACGACGATTCCTATTGTGGCCGAAGAACGGAAGGGATCGTATTTCTCTTGGGAAGCTACGATTCGCGCGTCCCGTAATACGCGGTATTATTCGAAGCGTTCGCGGTTAATCCGTGCTTTTCACGCAAAAGCGGTTCTTTTCGCTTCGCGGTGAAATCTCGGAAGACGCGAGGAACCCACGCGATCGTTATTATTCGGTCATTTGAAATTCAAATTTCGGACGAGTTTGTTACTCGTACTCGAGCCTGGCTTCACTTTTAACGAACGTACCGTCGTACGTTTCGTTTGCAAAGTTCTTTAAAGGATCTTTATCTCCCCGTTTCCTCTTCCTTGGGAACGGTCGCGGCCCGAGCATGTAGGAAATAGCGACAAAGATGAAGACGAAGACGAGCGTCCCGCGTGTACTTGGGCGTAAGCGTCGGAGTTCCGTGCGTCGTTCTGTCGCAGCTCGGTTTATCCCGGGCATCGTTTTCCGCGAGCCAAAGTTGACCTCGTTTATTCGGTTATCCGTGAAGGAACATCGGTGAAAGGTTCGTAGAAGCGTACCGCGCTCGGATAATATTCGCATAAAAATGCGAGCGGAACGGTGAAACAACCGAGCAATAATTCTCCCCGGGCGATAGAAGTTCGCCGGTGCGGCGGCGGAAGTCGGTCCGCTCCGATGGAAGCGTGGCAACAAGTACCCGCGAACGCGTTTTCCCCTCCACACGTATTCCCATCGTAAAAGGTATCTTTCCCGTTTTCCAGACGGAGGTGTTCCCTGCGCCTCCGATGTATTTCGACGCTCTGGCGCGAGCGCGAACGCGTTTCATCGAGATGCCGAGGAAACTTTTCGAACGCGACGAGCCGATAAAAGTTTTATAGTTCGCGGCAAGTTTATTGGCCGGATGGAAAAACCACGTTGGCTGCTTGTTAAAGAAAAATTACACCGCGGGCGCGCGCGCGCGCGCTCACGTTTCCTCGATTAGCGCCGCCTCGCGTCGTCACGGAAAAGAGGCAACGCGGAATTACAGAGCTCTCCGCGCGAGACCCGATCGCTCGATCGAATCGTGTTACGTACAAGTTTACGTTTGCATACGAGTCGAACGAACGCGAAGAAACCTTGCGCTCGCGGTCTCGATCCGGCCCGACCAACGTCTAATAGAGGTTCGGAATACCCGGACCTAACCGGATCGTTTTCGAATCGTTTCCAAAGGCGGACGCTCGAATCTACCGAGCCGAACGGGGATGAAAAAAGGCAACGATGCGAGTTAATGTTTTTCGCTCGATTCCCGTTGAACACGTTGCACCGTAGAGGGTTAAATCGAAGCAATTCCGGGGCGTCGCAGCTGTTACCGTAAGTTTTCATACGCATCGTAACGAGTGTCGCGGTCATTTTGCCTGCCGCGCGGGAATTACAAGTTATTGTTCGCATATTTATACCGGAAAGGGGCTTTGCCTTTGTGTTCCCATCCCGGATGAAAGGTTCGCGCGGCCTGCAATATAGCGCGAGCTGCAATTTCGCCCGGGCGTTCCCGGAGCGCGCGCCGAGCAATTACAGACTGCAATTTCAGCCGTTTTTGATCAGGCATTCGACGATGTCTGGCCGAACGTCTCGGGTGCGCGAAAAATCTCCGTGCGCGCGGTTCCTCGCTCCTTTAAACGGCCGATTTAATCGTAACCGCGCGCGGTTACGTCGCGACCCGATCGGTGCTCGAATTATTTCGCTTTACTCCGGCCGGAGCTTTCTCGAGTTCGAGTCGCGCGCGCGCACCCTCTTCGGTCCAGTTTCGTTTCATTTCCGCCCACGTCTTCTCTCGGCGGCAATTTTTAGCCGAATTCGCTCGCGGACGAAGGCACGATCGATGCAACGGCTGCACGTTTAAGTACGGCCGCGAGGCGAGATGCTGTTGGACGCGCACAGAGGTCGATTCACGCCGCTTTTGTCGGCAGATTACGAAGACTGGGGATCGGGAATCGCGAGTACATCGCCGAGCTCGTCGAGCAAATGCGACGGAAACGGGAGCACGCATTGGTAAGTGAAGGACGATCACGATGAATCGCGTAACACCTTACCTAGCCCGACCGGTAATAGCATCGATCGCGGTGCCGTGCCGCCGACGCGATCCTCTCCGTGCCGAACACGCTGTCGGGGCAGAGTTTCGGTTAGATGCGCGCCGAGTTACCTGCAGGCGCGCCGCTTGGTCCGATTAAATAATAACGCGGTGAACCCGAAAGCGATCGCTTCGATTTCAGCCGGGTCGGCGGCAACGATTCACCCCCGATCCTTCGAATCGATCACGATCTCCTTCGAACCGGTGCTTATATTTTATCGGAACGGACGATAATATTTTCTCGAACCTTGTCTGCTCGCGAATTAATCGGGACGCTAACGTTCGACGATCGCACCACCCTCCCGAAATCGCTGAAATCCAACGAGCAATTTGCCCGATATCGAACCAGGTGTGTTTCTCGTTTCAACGATCGAGTTTGTATTCCCGTATTTGTTTCGTTGTTTCGACGCGCCATCTTCCCGCGGTCGCTTCATCGGAGAATATCGCGCGCAAGAATGTATCCGAATAACGGGGATAGAATTACGATCGGAATTCCGATGGCGGCGGCGGCGGCGGCGATTTTCCGCGCGCGGGCATTAGGAGAAACTTGAAATTATCTTCGTCTCGGATTGAATTTTCCCGGTCCCGAGATTAAGATCGAAGACCGCGGGGATTCGTCGCGCTAACGAACCGACCGGGCCGGGCCGAGCTCGCGCGCGTACCCGAAGACAAACCCGTCAAATTAATTGAAACTAAGTTTCTCATCGAATGAGGAAAGCTGCTTCGCTGTTTGAATAATGATATTGAAACAATTTCCGGCAAATAACAGCCGGGCTTTGTCATTACGCGCTCGCAGCTCAGACGTCGCGTCGCGGCGAACGAGTAGTAACGGTTCCGTTTGATCAGGACTTTCAATTACTCCTCGCGGGGTGGGCGGAAGCCTACGGTTCTCCTCCAAGTATGCAATTAACTCTAGAGCATGCAGACACAGGGGGATAGGAGGTCACGCGGCGTGTATTCAGGCCAGATTCTCGTTCCAGGAGGAACGACGGATGGAACAAGAGAGCTGTCGCAGGCACTTCGACACCTGGAGGAGGCTCTGGGGTCGGCCGGGTCATGGCGCCCCCATGGATCATGCCCATCGTAACAATCTATACAACATTCTCTACCGTCCGGTCATCTATTGAATTTCCGTCTCGTACTTGCCACGGTGCTTACCACGCTGTTCCGCCCGCGGACCGGAAGCGAAGCCTTTGCTGCCACCTGGACGCGCCCTACCGCTCCCCACGATCGCAGCGAATTTACCGTACAGGGTGCTGCCTCGCGATCGCGTCGACACCCGGAAAGGGGGGGATTCGAAGAAACTTTTTCCCAAGCGAAACTCCAATCCACGCGGCTTTCTTTACGAGTTATGTTATAGTTATATTACAGTTATATAGAAACGGCGAGACGAACGAGAGGTGAGACACGGCCGAGCTCTCCTCTCGTCGATTACTCGTAAACAAAGACGCGGATCGCATTTGCGCCGAGGTAAAAATTACTTGGAATCACCTTGCGGGAGCCTCGCCCTGTATAAGGACGCGGAAAACGAATACGATTTCGAGCAGGATGGGACAGTGGCAGAGAAAAGGAGAGAAAGAGGGAAAGAGAGAGCTCGCCCTTTCGGACAGATAAGAAACTTGGAATAACGAAGCACGGCGAGCCGAGAACCAGCGTGAGATGGATTGTTACGAAATCGTTCGAGTCGTTTCTCGATGAAACGTCGAAAGGAACGAGAAGCCTGGAGAAGTTGCGCGGTTGGGAGCCGGAAGTGATGTAACAGGTGATGTAACTTCCGTAGAGGAAAGATGAAAATGGCGGATCGTCGACGATTCGAAACAGCTCGGGCTGTATAATTAATCGACGGTTTTGCATAAAAAGAGAGCGAGAGGGAAGAGGTAGCGCGTCGACGGCGAAGCGAGGCGAGGCGAGGCGAGGCGAGGCGAGGCGAGTTGCGAGTTGCGAGTTGCGAGTTGCGAGTGGAAGTTGAGAACGAGAACGAGTATCGGGTTCGTAGGTGGATACGACGCGACGAGCACTCGTTAAAATATTTTTCTTCTGCTCGAACCTAGTTTAAACGGCGCTTGATAGTCTACCGAGTCGGTCGCGCTTCGAGTCCTCGTTGTAGCTACAGCTGTCGGAGCTGGCAAGTTCGCCTCGCGTATCTTGGAATCGCTTTCGAACCGTTTATGGAATAATTAGGGGTGCCCGCGACCCGTATCGCTCCCAAAGTGCTCCGCCTTCTCGCGGTCGATTCAGCCAGCCTTTCAATTCAGCGCCTCGAAATTTCGCTCAACTTTCAGCCATCGGCGGTCCATCGAATCATCTTTTTTTCCAAGATATTTGCTCGATGTTTCGATCGATTCGTTGACTCTCGATTAGGCGCGTTGAACCGACCTCGCGACGGCGGATTTTATGCGTTCGCTGGACAAACGTTCCAAGCGAATAAATCAAATCCCGAAGGTCGAGCGTCGCGTTCGCTTTTCGAAACTTTTTAATCCTATATATGTATATACAATATAGGTATATGTATAGCCACCGAATTACATCGTTCGTACAGGGTACCGATTTACCGGTTGGGCATAACGCGGGCGTTTCGCGTGCCGCCAGATTTTATAACCGAGCAAAACAGAGCCACGGAACGAAAGCCGCGGAATACGATCGAACACGATGTAAGCCAGAGGTTACATTCGAGAGAAAATCCGAGACGATTCGGTCAGAGAATCTCCATAGGAATCGGTCCACGATTTCGATCAAAGTCTGCCCGTCGACGTCGATCGCGCCTGTAGTCGTAGCTCGGCTGGTCGCACACGGAAACGCGAAGCAGACTGAAACGTCACGTACCATTTTTATTTCTACGTAGTTCAAAACAACGCCTCCGCCGAGAGACAATCGTAAAGCAAGCAAGAATAGCAGTGGGGCGGCTCGGTCATGACTGGAATCGCGACGACGCGATTCTTGCTCGAGGACAACGGGGGAACGGGAACGAGCGATGTCTCTCTCTTTCTCGAGGGGGAGAAAGAGGCGGTGGAGGAGAAGAATCGTGGCACGACCAAGTTCCGAGAAGCTACCGCGTTTAATAAACGGATCGCTTTGTCATCGACGCGCGACGATTCGATCCGACAGGGAACAATCGACAGATTCGGATCTATTTTCTGCTAATCTTATCCTCGACGATGAGAGTAGTCGGGTTAGAAAATCATAGTTCCGTGATACGAGCTTCGTTCGGACGCGTACCTCTCGGCGAACCTAACGATGGAACCAAGGGGGCAATCTCTTTCTCGTGCCATTGGCGACTAATTATTTATTTAATCGATAATCGTAAATTCTACACTCGTTCACTAATTTCTCACTCTCGACGATGCTTCGCCGCTGTCTCGCGATCAAAAGTCTTTTTCGCGTCTTACCTCGCATATATTTATTCCGATCGCCCACGCACTCGTTCGCATACGCACTCGTTCGCACACGGATTCACGGTGAACGCAGCTTGCATCGTCACCTCCCAGCACTCGCGCTCCAAGGTGTTGATCCATCCTAGAAGAGGACAAAACGGAGAGACACGCCGCGTCGGGGCCGAAGCGTTCGCGATGTCGCGTGCCACGCCGAAGAGAGAGCGGGCACGCGTCCGAACGCTGCTGCTGCCTCCCTCCCGCGCGTGCCTACGATTTGTTTTCGGCTCTAATATCCCCGAGAAAGGTTCTATGGAAATTGCTTTTATCGAAAATGGAATTCCGTCGTTGCCGCGACGACCGAACGACCGCAGACTCGCGTGTCGCTGCCACGTATACATGGTACCGCGCGCGCCAATTTTTCCGGTTTTTGCCGGACCGAACGCGACTCGTTGCAAACCTTTATATTTCTCGATATTTTTCTCTTTGCCGGCGCGGCGAAGCGAGCGAGCGGGCGAAACCGCGACCAAGCTCGGATCGAATTCGCGACTCGACGAGCTTTCGATTTCCCTTCGAAAACGTTCGAAGGACTCGAAACGCTCCCGAACCTTTCTTCGGTTTGTACTTCCGCGAGTCGTTTTCCCGGTTCTTTGGCCGATCCGAAAATCGTCGTCGCGTCGCGCGTTTCGAACGCCAACGGAGCATCGTCGGGGGCCGCTCGGAACCGGCGCATTGGTACGTCCGATTCGCGAGAGCAAAGTTGCGAATTCATTTTGTTAGATTTGTAATGCGACGAGCGAGAAAGCCGATCCGTTTCCGAACGATTCGGCGAGATATCGTCGTCGATGCAAGCTACTTTAAAAGCGCACGTTTAATTATCTTTAAGGGTTAAGAATATCGTAGGAACACTCAATAAAGAAATTTCATCTCGATCCGAGTTTTGTTAACCCAATCCTCCGGTAGTCGAGCAATTACTTCGGATAATCCGAACGACTCTTTCGCCGACGATTAATCATGGGAGATGCTTGTCCTCGAACGACGAAAAACGATCGGAAAAACGGTCGTCGCGTCGCGTCGCGTTGCGTCGCGTCGCGTCGCGTGTCGCATGAATGGAAATCGATGGAATCCCTTGGAAGACGCGAACGAAAACTCGACGGAGGAGCTGAATGGGTCGTCGGAAAGTGGCTTTCAGAAATGTTTCCTGCAGCCTGCCGATCGTTTTCGTGGTCCATGCGGCTTCTCGGGAAGCGCATTTCCAAGGGAACGGTGCGAAAATAGCGCGAGTAACGCGAATAACGCGAGCGTTACGCGTTTCCGTAAGTAATATCGTGGAACAACGCGAGACGAGTGGTACGAAGCGAATCTGCGAACGGTAGAAAAAAAACGCGAGAGAGGATCCGAGAGAGGGAGAGAATTCGGCGAAGAAGTCTGACAGCGGTGTTTGGCGGGGTACCGTTCCATAGGAAACGACGGCGTTGTTCGTTTCTCGGTACAACGAAGCGGACGTCCGCGCATGGCCGGACACGCGATAACAACATACTCTCGGGAGAACGGCGCAGTTTTCAAAGAGATTGAAATCTCCGGAATTGCGAAGAATATTAATTCGACTAGCGTGAGAAGAATATGGAGGAAACCGGAGCGGCACGATGCCAGCGACTCGGGCACGGTCGAACGTGGCCGAACGAAAGTTTCTCGAGCGGTGCGCGCGCGCGCGCGCGCGCCACCCTGAGAAGGGAACCGTATCGGAGATTGCACGCTCCGAGCTCCGAGCTCCGAGCTTCTCGTTTTCCCGCGACAAACACCGATCGCGAACTTCTCCAGCTTGCCACCTTCCGAAGTATTCGGAACTATCGGACACTCGCGGGAGATGAACTTATACGGCCGACGGATGTCCGGAAATCACGACGCGGTTAGAAATTGATTTAAAAGTCGACGCAAAAGTTTGTCCGAGCGTTCGAGAGACTTTAAAGAAAAGTTTCGTTTCGTTGCGTTCAAGCTTTTTTGTTCACCATTGTTTTTCACCGCGACGCATTTCTCTTTCTCCGCGATCTTTCATTTGATTCTCGATATCGTCGCTCTTCTCGGGCAATATTTACCGGTCCGCCTCTCTCGGCTAATCGATTCGTCGATCGACGCGTTTTTCTCGCGCTTACGTCGAATCGAACGAGGCGCGAACGAAGAAGAGGCATCTTTCTCGCGAAGGCGACGGTTGTCCGGGACACGCTGGCGAACGACGCGACGGCGTACGCGCGTCGGAGACGAGCGGCATCGATCGAGCGCCGTATAATGCGCTAATTACACGATACTCGGTGTCCAGCCGGACAAGGGGTGCCGGCGTGACGAGCTCGCCCCTAATGGACGTCGCCAATTTAATTTGGACGTTGTTTGCCGGGACACCGGGCAGTTTGTATTCCTAAACGCGGACCTTTGTCCCGCAGCTGGCCACGCAGCGGTAGCAGTCCTCGTTCTTCCTTCGGGTTTTCCGAGCCCGTAGGAAACCCACGGAATTCAGCCGGTTCCCTCGTATCTCCCTGGTTACGATCTCTAGAAGCGGGAGCCACAGCCGGTCGAGCGCCGGCCCGTCCGAAAGCTACGCTCCCTCTCTCCATTGTCCGACTATTGTGTCCCGTTACCGCTGTGTGTCCGTCCGTTCGTTTGTATAAGGGTGATTCATTTTCCGCGAAATATCAGTTCCTGTGCCGCATGAATTGCGAGTCGCGCGTCCGTGTAAAACCGCTCGCGTTTCACAGCCCTTCCTCCTCTCCTCCTCCTCCTCCTCCTCCTCCTCCTCCTTCTCCCTCTCCCTGTTTCTCGTGCTCCGCTGGTCGCCGCGCGTATTCGACGTCGTTTATTCGTTTCTGAAATTGAGCGTTGTCACCGAAATTGGGTCGGAGAGTCGCCGATGCACAGAACCGTATGGTAAAATTCGAGAGGATCGATTCTAGAGGTTGTTCGTTCGATCAGCAAATTGTACAAGGTCCGAACGTGGTCGTCGGAAAGAAATTACTTAAGATTTATTACCGCGAATGCACCCTGCGAAGCTGAAACGGACGAAGAGCGATAGAATCGCGCTAATTCGAGCACGGTCGCGTACCGATATCCGTTACCTTCCAAAGATCGTCAACCGTAAACCGCGCGGATGTCGGCAGGGTGCCCATGGGTTTTCGGCGTCGTTTGTTCCTTTCCGAGTGGGAACAACGTTCCTTTCCGATCGCCCCGAAATTGGGTCGGTCTGCTTGGAACGCGACGCGCACCGTCGATCCTCGTGTCGCGAAAATTGCTCATCGGCTATCTTCTCCGACTTTGGTTCGTTTCTCCGCGCTACTATCTCCGACTCGGCCCCTTTTCGTTCTTCCTTTTTCCTTTTCTCTTTCAATTTTTTGCTTTCCCCGTATCTCGGCTTTCGTTCGAAACTTTTTATCGCGTCGCCGACGCGTGTTCGGCCCGACACGGGAGAAATAGAAAAACGCCGGCAACGCGTCCGGTCCGCTGTTTGCGGGAGCTTGTTTAATTTCCGGTCCGGCCCTTCGCCGGGACAGCTGCGAAGCTTTTTCGAACGGCGTTCGTGGTTACGATTGAAAAATCGGGACGCTTCGGACTATTATACCGACCGGCTTTTGTTTCGATAAACAGTCGTTGCCTGCCGGCAGGTTTGTTCGGACTCGTTCGTTCGTCCGTATGTCGGGCCACGGGCATTACAAGTCCCTTGTCCATCGGTTTATCTAGCTATCTACCTGGGAACGCGTTGCCGCTATTAAGTCTACGATGCGCGGAACACGATACGTATTTATATTTGAGAAAAAATGTTTGATAACTTGGAGCACGAGCTATACGATTGTTTCGTTTAAGAAAACCGTGCGGAAAGTTAATTCGAGGTGAAAGTAACAACCGGCACGTTTACTTAATTTTACGGAAACTCGGGCGTTCCCCAGCGGTCTCTGCAGCGTTCGCGGCGTTCGATCGCGCGTCCCATCGGTTAAAACGATCGAGCCAGCTGCGTAAATTTATTAATAATCGCTTAGCCAAGCCGTTGGTCGGTTCGCGGCCGGCAATTTTCGTCGCGGGAGGGAGCGGTACGTGACCGCGCAACCGGCGGAAAAATTTCTGTCGCGGGAACGACGAGTCCGATGATTAACAGCTCGGCCGTAACGAGCGCTTCGGCCCTACTTAATTAGAGATCGGGTAATTTATGCGGCAGACGTGTTCCACGCGCGGTCGACGACTCTCCTTTCTTCCTTTGTACCGGTTCGTCTCGGCGCGGCGCGGACGGCTCCTCCCGAGCTACCTTTATTTTTCTCCGCTAATTGTTCCGCGCCCTTAAAGGAGCGCGATAAATTTCCGTCCGGCGGAACCTCTCCGCGCGTTCAACGGCCGCCCCGCGATTAATTATTCTCGGCCTGTTTTATGCACCCTTCCCCTCTTTCGCCGATTCGCTGTTTCGCGCCGTCAGCCGCGGCGCTGCTCGAACTCGCCGCTTAATCGCGTTATCGTCGTTTTCGACGATTGGAATTTTGCCACGGCCGGTCGTAGCCCTGCGCGAATTATCGTAACGCGAGCGCGTACGCGGTGGCGAATAAAAAAAAAGTATATATATATATATATATATATATATATATATATATATATATATATNTGTACAAGGTCCGAACGTGGTCGTCGGAAAGAAATTACTTAAGATTTATTACCGCGAATGCACCCTGCGAAGCTGAAACGGACGAAGAGCGATAGAATCGCGCTAATTCGAGCACGGTCGCGTACCGATATCCGTTACCTTCCAAAGATCGTCAACCGTAAACCGCGCGGATGTCGGCAGGGTGCCCATGGGTTTTCGGCGTCGTTTGTTCCTTTCCGAGTGGGAACAACGTTCCTTTCCGATCGCCCCGAAATTGGGTCGGTCTGCTTGGAACGCGACGCGCACCGTCGATCCTCGTGTCGCGAAAATTGCTCATCGGCTATCTTCTCCGACTTTGGTTCGTTTCTCCGCGCTACTATCTCCGACTCGGCCCCTTTTCGTTCTTCCTTTTTCCTTTTCTCTTTCAATTTTTTGCTTTCCCCGTATCTCGGCTTTCGTTCGAAACTTTTTATCGCGTCGCCGACGCGTGTTCGGCCCGACACGGGAGAAATAGAAAAACGCCGGCAACGCGTCCGGTCCGCTGTTTGCGGGAGCTTGTTTAATTTCCGGTCCGGCCCTTCGCCGGGACAGCTGCGAAGCTTTTTCGAACGGCGTTCGTGGTTACGATTGAAAAATCGGGACGCTTCGGACTATTATACCGACCGGCTTTTGTTTCGATAAACAGTCGTTGCCTGCCGGCAGGTTTGTTCGGACTCGTTCGTTCGTCCGTATGTCGGGCCACGGGCATTACAAGTCCCTTGTCCATCGGTTTATCTAGCTATCTACCTGGGAACGCGTTGCCGCTATTAAGTCTACGATGCGCGGAACACGATACGTATTTATATTTGAGAAAAAATGTTTGATAACTTGGAGCACGAGCTATACGATTGTTTCGTTTAAGAAAACCGTGCGGAAAGTTAATTCGAGGTGAAAGTAACAACCGGCACGTTTACTTAATTTTACGGAAACTCGGGCGTTCCCCAGCGGTCTCTGCAGCGTTCGCGGCGTTCGATCGCGCGTCCCATCGGTTAAAACGATCGAGCCAGCTGCGTAAATTTATTAATAATCGCTTAGCCAAGCCGTTGGTCGGTTCGCGGCCGGCAATTTTCGTCGCGGGAGGGAGCGGTACGTGACCGCGCAACCGGCGGAAAAATTTCTGTCGCGGGAACGACGAGTCCGATGATTAACAGCTCGGCCGTAACGAGCGCTTCGGCCCTACTTAATTAGAGATCGGGTAATTTATGCGGCAGACGTGTTCCACGCGCGGTCGACGACTCTCCTTTCTTCCTTTGTACCGGTTCGTCTCGGCGCGGCGCGGAC